ATGGCAAAGCCAAAGGCCGAGTTCCCCGGCCCTGCTCCGTCCCCAGGTGCCCTGGATCCCTCTGGACCCCCTGGCGCCAGATTTGGCCCGGTACCCCCAGTACCGTGGGGCCCAGGCCCTCCGTTGCACCGTGCAGGCCGGCGAGATGCTCTACCTGCCGGCCTTGTGGTTCCACCACGTGCAGCAGTCCCAGGGCTGCATTGCTGGTGAGGAGCTGCCGGCCTCGGCCAGCTGGCAGGGCGGGCTGGGGAGGCTCTGGGTCAGAGCTGGGCCGCCTGCTCATGCGCCTGCTCTCCCCACAGTGAACTTCTGGTACGACATGGAGTATGACATCAAGTATAATTACTTCCAGCTGCTCGACACCCTCACCAAGGCCTCAGGCCTGGACTAGTGGAGCCCCCCCCCTGAACTTCACACTCCCCCCGACAGCTTAGGGGGCACTTGGGCTCCTCCCCAGCCAGGCCCCCACAGAGACACCCTGCAGGCTGCCTGACCCAGAACCCCATTTGGATTGGGACCGACCCTGGAGACTCGTGGGTGATATGAGGAGGACCAGGAAGTGCCAGGCAGGTCTAGGTCAGGGTTCCCAGAAAGCATCCACGCAGGTGAGGCAGCCCCGTGGGGGCCAGCTGCTGCGTCCTCTCTCATCTGTAAAGCGGAGATAATGATGGCCCCTACCTTTCCAGCTGCCCTGGGGCCTGGAGAGGGTGTCTGTAAGGGCTGGCTCGAAGGACATGCTCAATAAAGCCGGGGAGGCACCGTGTGGTACCCACTCGTCGTCGTTGTGGCCGTCTGTCTCCTGGGGAGGGTGGTGAGGGTTCAGATGGAAACATCAGAGAGTGGACTACAGCGCATACTCATACTCAGGTCTGGTCAGCAGGCCAACCCTGCTGTAACTCTCTGCCAGGGCTCGCTGACTGGGTCTGGTTTGCTTCCTGACCCCCTGATGGGGTTGGTGGCCTGGGGCCAATCCTGTATCTCTCAACCAGCACAGGGAGCAGGGCACAGGAGCTGCCCCCATCCTCACCCCCACCCTCACCCCCACTCCCGGGCTGCTCCTCTGCAGAAGAAACTGACTTTCCTCACGCTGCCTCCACAAAAGGGGAGATGAGCCCCCTTCCCCTGGGTGCCCACCTGGAGCTCCAGTCCTGGCTATCTCTGGGGACCTGAGGATGAGGATGGAGGTGGCCCAGCTCCTGGCTTTGAAGAGCTGTGTTTTGTAACAGCCACTCCCCTGCTGTGATGATAGGGTCCGGACACACCCCTCGGGCCTGCTTCAGTCCAGACTGGGCATTCCTGTCCTACTGGTACCTGGATGTTGCTACAAGCCTTGTTGGTAGGGACTGTGCCCTTGCCCTGCCTCTGGCTGCTGCTCACATCTCAGTGGCCCCTCCAGGCCACGCCTTCGGTGGGTTGGTGAGTTGTCCTGGAAGCAGGACCCAGTTGGGCAGGCCCAGGTGGTGTTGGCTGGGGGAAGTGGGTCTTCCAGGGACCTGGCAGGGGTGGGGGACCCTGAACCCATGGGAGGGTGTCAGTAGCCCCAGTATAGGCTGAGGTGCCTCTTTTCTTGGACAGGGTGTGGGGCTTGGGCGGAGCGGAAGATGCAAGTGGGAGGGGCTTTGGAGGCCAGTTGGGACACACTTGGATCTTGGCTTAAAACCCCACAGTTCTCAGCCCAGTGGCTGCTGCTGCCGTTGCTCGCCCCCTGCCCGGGACCCCCAGCCTCATGGCTCTGGTAAGGCCGGTGTGGCACTGGAGCCCACCCTGACCCTTGCTCCCCACCTGAGCCCTGGCTAATGATTTCTCTGGAGGGCTGGGGCTGCGGTAGTCTTTGGGTGTAGAGGGCGTGTTTGCCAGCCTTGGGTAGGGGCCTGGCTGGGCTGGGGGTCCACAGAGCTCCTAGGCAGGGAGAGGCTCCTGGCTGCTCCCCTGCTTCCTCTGAGTCAGTTGCCTGGGCTGTCGGGGCCTGAGACTGACGAGATGGGTGACTTTCCTGGGCTTTTCCTCTGCCAGGAGCCCCCGGGCTCATGCAGCTGGGACTTCCTACGGCAGCTGGGAGGCCAGTGGAAGGGCCTGCTGACACACGCTCCCTGACCCCAGCACACCTGGCAGGGCTTCAGCCCAGAGCCCGGGATGGTTTGGGATGGAGTCCCGGGGTCCCTTGTTCCCCTCCCCTCAGAGAACCCAGAGCGCGCAGGGCTTGGCACCCATGGGCTGCCTGTCCTGGTAACCACCCACCTGCCCCAGCACAGAGGTGGCTTCCAGAACTGCCCCCTGACCAGGGGTGGGACGCACAGTGAGGAGCGAGTGAGCAAGCAGGCGCTTAGCCCCCAGCAGGCCACTCCCTCCATGGCCTTCTGTACGCCCCGAAAGCTTCGTAAGCGAAGGCATGGGCTGGGGGCGACAGGCGGCAAGATGGGAGCCTGCTGGTTCCAGGAGAGGGAAGCGGAGAGCACAACGAACGATTGGGTAAGGTGCTGGGTCACCTCTCTGTGCCTCCGCCTCCTCCTTGCGAAGCAGCGTAGTGCTGGCCACTGAGCCGACTGAGTTAATGTATGGAAAGCCCTTGGGACAGAACCTGTCACGGGCATTGTGTAAGTTCCTATGGACGTGCCCTGTTTCCTCTAGACTCTGGGTTCTGGGTGGCCCTGGTCCTGTTGGTACAGGATGAGCCCTTGCAGGTGCCCAAGCCTCCCCTTTGGTCCTGTCACCCCACATCAAACTTGTCCCCTCCCTGCTGCTCTGCAGGCCAAGTTGCCCGGGACCTGCCTGCTCACCATTCGTGTGTTGCAGGCCCACAGCCTGCCTGCCAGGGACCTGGGTGAGTGGACCGAGGGAGGAGAAGGGGACTGAAGTTGCAGTCGGAGCAGGGCAGGGACGGTGGGAGGTGGCAGGAGGGCTGGGCCTGCCAAGAGGTCCTGGGGCGGGGGCTAGTGATGGAGGGTGGGGCTCTGTGTGTCCCCAGGGATCCCTGTGGTGGTGCACTCTGGGAGGCTGGGTTGGGGGAGACTTCGGCCCTCATTTCTTCTCCTCACAGTGACCCACTCTGACTTCTATGTGACCCTGTGGCTGCCCACGGCCTGCAGCCACAGGCTCCAGACGCGCACGGTCAAGAACTGCAGAAGCCCCGTCTGGAACCAGAGCTTCCACTTCCGGGTGCACAGCCAGATCAAGGTGGGCCTGCCTCAGCCCGGCCCTGTGTACCCCTGGCCCCCCCAACACCGCACCCCATGGCCCTCTCACGCTGCTCCCCTTCCAGAACGTGGTGGAGCTGAAAGTGTTTGACCAGGACCTGCTGACCAGCGATGACCCCGTGCTGTCAGTGCTGTTTGACGCAGGCACTCTGCTGCCTGGGGAGTTCCGGCGCCAGAGCTTCTCGCTGAGCCCGCAGGCAAGACTCCACATGGGCAGCCGAGGGCGCTGCCCTCGGCACTAGCAAAGGGGTACACTTTGGAGGGAAAGCTACTTAAATGCCCTTCTTCTTCAAAGAACTTGTTAACAGACCATGAGACTCTTGTCAACCAGGAGCTGTTCCCCGAGGAGCCACGTTACGGACCGCAACTCTCCCCGCCACGCCCCGCTTGGGGGAAGCCTTGGCACCCCTAGCTGGCATCTGGGTTGGAATCTCCGCATACCCACACTGACACACACACTCACACTCACATTCACATTCACACCCACATGCATCCCCCCACACACACAAGTACACTCACACACAAACACACACACACTCAACCACTGCCACACTCACACATGCACAGCCATGCAGATACACATGCACTCACATATACACACAACCACTCACATACATGCCCACATACATGCACACGTCTCACCTTTTTTTTTTTGACTGAATTAAGCTTTATTATTGATTTTTTAAAATCATTTCATTAGGGGCTCATACAACTCTTATCACAACCCATACACACATCAATTGTGTAAAGCGCATTTGTACATTCATTGCCCTCATCATTCTCAAAACATTTTCTCTCCACTTAAATCCCCGGCATTAGGTCCTCATTTTTCCCCTCCCTCCCCGCTCCCCCCTCCCTCATAAGCCCTTGATAGTTTATAAATTGGTATTTTGTCATATCTTGCCCTGTCCGACGTCTCCCTTCACCCACTTTTCAGTTGTCCATCCCCCAGGGAGGAGGTCACATATAGTTCCTTGTAACCGGTTCCCTCTTTCCTACCCACTCTCCCTCTACCCTCCCTGTTTCGCCACTCACACCACTGGTCCTGTAGGGCTCATCTGCCCTGGATTCCCTGTATTTTCAGTTCCTATCTGTACCAGGGTACATCCTCTGGTCTAGCCAGACTTGCAAGGTCGGATTCGAGTCATGGTAGTGGGAGCCGGGAGGAAACATTTAGGAACTAGAGGAAAGTTGTATATTTCATCATTGTTACATCGCACACACGTCTCACCTTTATAACTTGCTTCTTCAGGGTGAGGAGCGGCTGGACGTTGAATTCCGCCTGCGGAGTCTGTGAGTTAGGGGTTTCGGGGGGCAGGGGAGCTCAAGGTAGGGAGAGGGGCTCTGGGTCGATTCTCTCCCTTCTGGAAGGAGAGAGCCTCGTGCTCTCAGGGCTGGTGTCCTTCCCCAGGGACCCTCTGTGGTTGGAAGGACTGCCTAGGCTTCTTTGGGAGCAAGAACCTGATCCCTGCTTTTGGCTTTTCCCAGGACAGACTGTGTGGAGCAGCTCACCAGCAATGGTGTCCTAGTGGTGAGTCAGATCATTGTAGTGATTCGGGATCATAGAAGTGATTGAATCAGGATCATAGTAGTGATTCCGGATCGTAGTGGTGATTTGGGGTGGTAATGGTGATTTGGGATCATAGTAGTGATTCGGGATTGTAGTGGTGAGTGGGACACCCTCCCTTAGGCCATCTGCTCACCTGCCCTCCTGGCTGGGAGTCTGTCGACCAGGAAAGAGCAGAGTGGGAGGGGCTATGATTTCCAGAGGACATGGGACTGAGGAGCGGAAACCTGGGGCTGCGGGGGCAAGGGTAATGGTGGGGTGTCCTTGTGTGGGAGGGGCAACATCTGAATCCTCTCTTCCCAACACAGGCCCGGGAGCTTTCCCGCTTGCACCTGCGGCTGGAGGAGGCCGGGGACGAGAAGGGTAAGTCTCCCAGGTCACCAGGACAGCCCTGGCCCTCAGCCCCCGTCTTCCTCCAACCTCAGCTGTCCATCCTGGAGGAAGCTACTAGCCGCCTTCAGCCTCCGAAGGCTAGGGGCTGGGGATGAAACTGCCCAGGTTTACCAGGACCTGGCATTTTCCCATGACCCTGCTCAGAGGGGGCTGGGCTGAGGGTAGCTCCTCCCAGCCTCTGCTGGCCACAGGGGTGGGAGACACCTCACGGGCAGGGAACCCCCTCCTACCCCTACCTTGGTTCCTGTCTCCAGAGTCACAGAGCAAAGTTCAGCTTGTGGTCCCTGGGTCCTATGAGGGTCCTCAGGAGGCCTCCGTGGCCAACAACTCCTTCCATTTCCACTTCCCCACCTGCTGGGAGCAGAAGCTAAGTATCCACCTACAGGTAGGGT